CTGTGGGGCAGTGACAATCTTTTTGGGTCTTTATGGGGCAGAGGGCGTCCCTATGGGGCCCTCGTGTCTTTAAAGGGGATCTGGGGGGCAGGAGGTGAGGGTGCTATGGGGTCCCTGTGGGGCCCGTACAGTCTCCATGGGACAGAAAAGATCTCTATGGGGCTCACAGGGGATCTATGGGACAGGAGAATGCTATGGGGTCCCTATGGGGCAGAAGGGGTCTCTGTGGTGCAAAGGGGGTCCCTGTGGGTCCCACAGGGGCACTGTGAGTCTCGGTGGGGGGAATCTATGGGGCACAGCGGGGGAGGGGATGCAGCTGTCACTCATGTCTCCTTCCACCCCGTGGGAATGTGTCACCTTGTGGGGACAATTGTGACCTCTACCCCTCCCCCCTGCCCCATAGTGCCCCACAGCCTGCCCCACAGCACATCCCAGCCTGTCCCGTGGCACCCCACAACCTGCCCCACAACACCCCATGCCGTGCCCACAGCATCCCACCCCCACAACCTGCCCCATGGCTCATCCCACCCTGCCCTACATCGCCCCACAACCTCAGCCTGCCCCACAGAGTGTCTCAACCGCATCTTCCCCCCACCCCGCTTCTGCCCCACATCCCACTCCCCTCCCTGCACAGCCCAGGAAAGGATGACCCTGGCAGTGCCTCGCCAGGGAAGAAGATCTCCCCGAGAGATGCCTGTGGGTGAGGCCATGTCCCCTCTCCCCACATTCGGTGACAAGTTTGTTACTTCACTGATTTTGCTGAGCTCCCGTCTGCAGTCGGGTGCTGCTCAGCCGGCAAGACGTGGCCTCACGGAGCAATCGCCCGAGGTCGTTGGCAAACCTGCTTCTAACCCACAGCGCAATTTCAGGCTGTGTTAGACTGGTGCATAACACATTTAACACAAATACTTGCTAAGGGATGACTAATTTAGTAGTACTGACATATCCCTTACTGTTTCTATTCCCACATTGACCTTCTTAAGAGAGAATCTATGCCCTCTGCATATTTCATTTAGAGCTAAAGTCATTGAAAAATTGCATTGCCTCTGGCTGCTATATAGAATATGGGAAAATAGCATTTTCTAAGATTGCTACACAACGTTCACTTCATCTTAAGGACTCTCTGAATGGAGGAAGTGTCTTTTAGTGATTCCCTCAGTAGCAAAATAATATACATGAGGCAAGATAAGATCTGTTATCAGATCAGCTTCCAGACATGAAGAAACAATCATACCTGGAACCTTGCTTGTTCTTACCCACTACAACTGTTGCTCTGATTTCTGTTTCCCGAGTTTTGTACCACCTTTGTAGGTGCCTGGGGAAAAGCCTCAGAGATGCCAGCAGAGAGATGCGATCCAAGTTGAGACTGGCAAGACAGCAGAGGTAGATTTAGGGAGGCTCTTTGGTCACACTGTGAGAGCAGAAGCAACCCATAAAGAAATAAGGCCATTTTAACTGAGATAGTTATCAGATCAGCTTCCAGACATGAAGAAACAATCATACCTGGAACCTTGCTTGTTCTTACCCACTACAACTGTTGCTCTGATTTCTGTTTCCCGAGTTTTGTACCACCTTTGTAGGTGCCTGGGGAAAAGCCTCAGAGATGCCAGCAGAGAGATGCGATCCAAGTTGAGACTGGCAAGACAGCAGAGGTAGATTTAGGGAGGCTCTTTGGTCACACTGTGAGAGCAGAAGCAACCCATAAAGAAATAAGGCCATTTTAACTGAGATATAAATGAAGCTCACTGCTCAACTCTTTTTTTATCATTTAGTAGGCGACATTTTTAAATGGGAATTTAGCGCAAGTACGAGGTAGGATGAGAGCAGTGGTTAAAGTTTATATTAAGCACCATGTTCTCTGGTGGGCACCACATTTCAGGAAATATCAGAGACAAATCAGAGCACAATGACAATGATCACAGACTTGGCAAGAGTGACCTAAGAACTGGAAGAATTCACTAATCTGGAGAAGAGAAGACTATGGTAACCAGCAGGATGTACAATAATAGTTTTAAAATATATTAAAAAAATCTATAGAGAAATGTAGTCAACTTTTTTTCCTGATTCAGTGAATGAAAACTGGGGGGAAAAAACTGGTCTTCATTTTTAGCAAAGAAAATTTAGGTTGGAAAACTTTCTAGTGATGAGAATTGTTAATGAGGAAGACTGGAAAAGCCATCGTGGTCAGACTTTGCAGAACAGATTGTATGAACATCTATAAAAGATGGCAAAGATTACTTTGATCTTGTCTCTGTGCAGAAAGTGAGGCCTCATGATCTCTTGGAATACCACGGGACTTTTTTCAGATATTCGGTGATGTCTTAATGAACAAATATTACACAGACTAAAGTAAGCATTGCACGCAGTAGAATTTTTTTAGCAAACATAAGTAATGCTGAGCCATATTAATAAGCATTGCAGATTAGAAAAAGACTTAACTGGGAGCAGGTTTTTGTTTCCATGGCCATATGCCCAGGTCAGTTATTTGCTTACTTGTTATCCCCAGCAGCTATGTCTGCAGTAAATTACAGAATCACAGAATCTTCATGGTTGGAAGGGACCTTTGAGATCATTGACTCCAACCACACAAAAAAAACCCCAAAAACCGAAAAAACAAAAAAAAAACCCAAAAAACCCACATCCCAAAACAAACCAAAAAACCCCAAAACCAACACAAACACACACACCATACCCACCCACAGAGAGACAATAACCGACAATCCCGGGCACCAGAGCATGCCCTGAAGTGCCACGTCTACACATTTCTTAAATCCCTCCAGGGATGGGGACTCCACCACCTCCCTGGGCAGGCTGTTCCAGGGCCTGACCACCCTCTCAGGAAAGTCATTCTTCCTCAGATCTAATCTAACCCTCCCCTGCCCCAACTTCAGACCATTTCCTCTGCTCCTGTCATTATTCCCTTGGGAGCAGAGGCCAACCCTCACCTCTCTACACCCTCCTTTCAGGGAGCTGCAGAGGGCGATGAGGTCTCCCCTCAGCCTCCTGTGAGAAACACTGACTCACATCTTAAAATTTTAAGAGGACAAAGTCACCGAAGCAAAAGTTTTAAAAAATTTATTAATACGAAACAGCACTGAATCGGGTGCACCAAAAATAGATGCACATGCACTTTTTCGATTTTTGTATATTTATACCTAATCCCAGCCACCTAAACTTCTCTCTCCTTCTCATTGGCTAAGAAGTTGGAGCTCACTTTCTTCCCGACCGCCTAACCTATCGCAGGTTTAGCTTACATCTTTTCTACCGTATAAGGCATATACACCCCTATTCTACAAGATTTTTTATCTTGAACATACTTTTGATTACACTACGTGTTATTTCACGGTCTCTGCTGCCATCTACTGTCCGATGTTAGTAATTACAAGCCCTCTGATGGTCATTTTCTTCATCGGGTGGTCACATCCTCCTCTTCATCAGCTGCCCCCTCCTTCTCCCTGTGAGCGGGCCTACTTGGCAGCCTTCACTGGCCACCTGGCAGATTTACTGCCCAAGCCTTGTTCTTTTAGTCTTATTGATACTTTTCTATCTTCTGGGTCCCTATGTTGAAGGACACGTTCCAGTCTGTTTCTCTTCACCTTATCTAGGTGAATACTCTGAGAACAAGGACATTTCAACAGACCAAGAACATCTGTGGGGATTAGTTGGACACAATTTGTTAAACTTTTATTACTACTACTAAAGCTTCTTTGTTAGTACTATCACGCTAACAATGATACATCAATTAGCTGAAGCAAAACTTAGCTTGTTTCCCACACTCCTCTTCTCCAAAGTAAACATGCCCAGCTCCCTCAGCCTTCTCCTCATCCTTTGTCACTGTGTTACCTCCCTTATCCCGTAGAGGATGGGGGTTCTCCCGAGTCCTCTTTTTGCTATTAATATATTTATACAAGTTCTTTCTATTGTTTTTAACATCCAAGGCCAGGTTAAGTTCTAGTTGGGCTTTGGCCTTCCTAATCTTTTCCCTACATAACTTTGCTATACCTTTGTAATCTTCCTGCGTGGCCTGTCCCTTTTTCCAAAGGCCATAAGCTCTCCTTTTTTTCCCTGAGCTGTGACCCTGTCTCTTTGCTCAGCCAGGCTGGCCTTTTCCCCTGACGGCTCGCTTTACAGCGTGTAGGGATGGCCTGCGCCTGGGCTTTTAAGACACCCAGCCTTCCTGAACACCTTTGCCCTTCAGGGCTTCCTCCCATGGGACTTTTCCAACCAGTGATCTGAAAAGGCCAAAGTCCGCCCGCCGGAAGTCCAAGGTTGAGGTTTTGCTAACCCCCTTCCTTACCTCTCTAATAACTGAAAACTTGACCATTTCATGGTCTCTAAGCCCAAGACGGCCTCCGACCACCACATCTCCCACTAGTCCCTCTCTATTTGTGAGCAGCAGGTCTAGTGAGGCACCTCCCCTGGTAGGCTCACCTACCAGTTGTGTCAGGAAGTTATCTTCCATACACTCAAGGAACCTCCTAGCCTGCCTGCTCTCTGCTGTGTTGTATTCCCAGCAGATGTCCGGTAGGTTGAAGTCCCCAACCAGAACAAGGGCTGGCGATTGAGAGACTTCAGCCAGCTGCTTATAGAATACCTCGTCTGCCTCCTCATCCTGGTTGGGTGGTCTATAGCAGACTCCCAGCACCAGATCTCCCTTGCTAGCCTTGCCCTTCATCTTTACCCATAAACACTCAACTGTATCATTGCTGCAATCTATTTCCATACAATCAAAACACTCCCTAACGTACAGAGCCACACCCCCACCTCTCCTTCCTTGCCTATCCCTCCTGAAGAGCTTATAGCTATCCATCACAGCATTCCAGCTATGACCATCATCCCACCATGTTTCTGTGATGGCGATTACATCATAGCTGTCCTGCTGCACAATGGCTTCCAGCTCATCCTGTTTGTTGCCCATGCTACGTGCGTTAGTGTAGATGCACTTAAGCCGGGCACCCGATTTCACCCCCATCCATGGTACTTTACCCCCAGGCTCATTACCAATGGGCCTGGTATTCTCCCCTTCCCCCTTCGATTCTAGTTTAAAGCCCTGTCCATGAGTTTTGCTAACTCTTGGCCTAATACCCTTTTCCCCTTTTGGGATTGGGTTTTTCCATCATTCTCAAGCAGACCCAGTGTCCTATAAATCAGGCTGGGAGGGACAGAGGAGATCACAATTTGTGATCCTGAATCCTCGACTAGCTGTCCCAAAGCCCTGAAATCTTTCTTCATCACTCTAGGACTTCTCCTTACTAGTTCATCATTATCTACCTGTAAAATCAAGAGGGGGTAATAATCCGAGGGCCTTATCAGGCCAGGAAGCTTCCTGGTTATATCTCTAATATGTGCCCCAGGGAGGCAGCAGACCTCCCTTTGGGAAGGGTTTGGCCTGCATATGGGACCCTCAGTTCCTCTCAAAAGGGAACCTCCTATAATTATTGCCCTCCTCCTCTTTTTCACAGAGGCAGTCTTAATAAGTGGAGTTGGCTGCTTCAGCAACTCCGTGGATAATGAGAAGTGGGAGGAGGGTCCTCTGGTGTATGTCAGGCCTCAACATGTTCAACATGTTCCCTTACCCTCAGGGAGTGGGCCCTACCTCCCTCTCACACTCCCTGATAGCCCTCAACCTTTCCACTTCCTCCTTCAGCTCAACCACCAGGCTCAGGAGATCGTTCACCTGTTCGCATCTGACACACGTGTCATCCCCACTACCCTCCATGGCAATGGCCAGGCCCCGGCACTCCCTGCAGCCAGAGACCTGTACACCCACATGTTTGTGTGGGGCCTCTGTCTGGGCGCCCACGGCTTTCTTAGGAAAAGCCTTTGACCTAGTTCTAACCATAGCTGGCCGTCTCCAAGCAAGAGAGAACAGAAGGGCCAGTTGGAATGAACGAGCTAGTTGTCTGTCTACTAAAAGTAATGGAACTTACCTTGTAAAAAGGCAGAGGCTCAGGACCCTGCTGTACAAGTTACAGCCCCGTGAGGCACGGACCAAGACACTGACCCGAGCGCTGCTCCCTGCTCGGTGGGACCAGCCTCGGCCCTGCCTGGGGCTCCTTATGGGCGGGGGTGGGGAGCCGCGG